AGCAAAAATTTTATATATATATATATATATATATATATATATTAATTTTATTTAAAATATTATTATAATAGTATATCGATGATACTAAAAGAACACAAGTCTAGTGGTTAGGAGCTGAGGTATTCAAGCATTAAGCTAATTATTTTATTTATTATTTATTGTTTTTATTTGTAAAATAAATTAAAAAGAAATGGAGATCTGTTGTATTTTTAAATGTTTCCTTATATTTGTTCCTTAAATTGTCTTTACTTGGTCTTAAAAAGTCTTTAAAATGTCTTGTATTTCATAAACCTAAAGTCCAAAGTAAAAATCTGCTGAGAAGCACTGATCTAAATCCTGCTAACTATAAAAATGCTTTACGTGTCGGTGTAATAGAAGCATCTTCTCTGTACCTGTGTGTGTTCTCAGGTGTGCTTTCAGGTGGGAGCTTTTGAAGTATGTTTTCCCACAGTCGGGATGGGTGCAGATGTGATCGCGGGGCCGTGACGGGACGGCTCCAGACGCAGGGCTGTTTGCGGACGAGTCGCGGGCTGGAGCGGGAGCGATGGCGGTGAACTTCAAACCCAATGAAGGTGCTGTGACCGTTTGTTTAGGGGGCAGAATCACCACGACTGAAGATTTGGCCACGAACACCACAGACGCCAGAGGAGGGCTGCAGCTCGCTGTCACTGGAAGCATCTGGAAGACTGAAAGCGCTGGCGAGTTTCCAGACGGAGTATCCGACAGCGCTGCAGCAGGGGCTGATGGGGGATCTGCTGAAGATCTGAGCGGATCACGATAGGTGTCTGACGTGTGCTGGATCACACTGACCGCTTGAGATCTGGCCTCAGGTGAAGCCGTGACCCCTGACCCCAGGTGCAGGTCGCTGTCTGGGCTGTACGGTGGAGTCATGCATGACATTACCTAAAAAAATACAACCAGTTCATGACTGTTTCTACATAGGAATTAATGAAACCGGTTTGGCCCGATTACTGTATTTACATTTATGGGTGAATCTCACAAAAACATGTTCAGGTCATATTGTGCCATTATTTTCATGCATCTCTCATTATTGTAACCTAGATGCTTTAGTTTTGAGTTTTGGCCATTTCAGTCAGAATCTCATTAGATTACTGAAATGCAGTCCTTTTATTACTGTATTTTCCTTATTACTGTACTACAACAGTTTTACGGCATACATGTAAAATTACTACTGGACCTCACACTAATAGATGATCAAACTAATAGATCTCACAGTTGATAAGACAATTGTTTTGTATCTGTTTTCTGAAATGTTATGTTTAAATATGCAAATGAGGCATTACATCATTAATGAGGCATCTAATTAAATATGCACTAATTTGCAAACATTTCCAGGACATAAATATGAATATTTATCAGTGTCATTTAATCACTTGGATATTATTATAGTTTTTGTTATTATTTCGAATACGTTTTTATTTTTATATTTTCTGTTTTCACTTTAGTTTTATTTGTCTATTTATAATGCTTATAATATGTCTATATATATATTTTTTTTTTTTTCAGTTTTAGTTATTTTAGTACATCAAGTTTTTTTCTATTTTTACACCAAGGTTTATTTTATATTTTATTTTATTTGAAGGAACAATGGTTTTAGTTGTGGTTTTAGTTACTATATGAAAACTTGTTTTCCCTTTGAATTAAGTAGATTTTTCTGAGCCTTTTGATGGATATTTGATCTTGTTTTAATCAAACTCACTTCATTTTGTTCAGTTTCTCAGAAAACAAGACTTCTAATGTCATTTTGCTTCAAGTAAATGCATCTTGATTTAGAAATCTTTAGATATTTGAATACTTTTTTTGCAGTGTGATCAGAAGGTACAGTAAAAGTTATTTCTATATTCTAGTGGCTGGGCTATTATTATAGTTAACTAAAACCATTTAAAAAACAAAGTAAATGTCAACTGAACTGAGACAACTATATGGAATATCTTTTCTTTCTCTTTTATTTTTATATGAATATGGTACAAGATTATCCTATTGAAAACAATATAATAAACAAGTAAGCTCAAAAGTAATCTGAAAGTAATCAAAAAGTAGTCTGGTTACATTACCTAAAATGTGTAATGTATAAATATATATATATTTACTCCTTTGCCAATTTGCATAACTTCACTAACAAATGTAATATATATATATATATATATATATAATCATAATTATTTTTTTAATTAGTTT